TGTGTTTTGTGTGCTTGTGTTTGTTTGTGTGTATGAGTGTGTTTGTGTGTGTGTGTGTCTGTGTGTGTGTTTGTTAGTGTGCGTGTCTGTGTGGTGTGTGTGTATGTGTGTGTGTGTGTGTGTGTGTGTGTGTGTGTATGTATGCCACCGTGGATCATGTTACTTAATGTCAGCTGGGCATGGGGCAAAAACTAGGTTTTCTGATGCAAATTTTATAGTAATCAACTGGATAATTACGGAATGTCGAGCATCAACATTGTGAGGGCAATGAGAGACATATATTTATAGATACAAGAGTGCTTCAGGAACATTTTCATTGACATGGTGGGTGGTTGGCGGGTGCTCTGGTGTGGTTTGCTTCTTCTTTCCTATAAAAAATCTATTGGTGGGTGGTTGGCGGGTGCTCTGGTGTGGTTTGATTCTTCTATCCTATCAAACATCTATCTTCCTTATCTCCCCTTCTTTTTTTTATGTTTGTTACTCTCTTGTAACACCTCTAATCTTCTGGCGCTCATATGACCTTATGCAGTTGCAAGTGTTGTAAAACACTTACTAAAACAAAATTGACATACATACGTACAGACATGCACAAACGCATGCACACGTACACACACATACACACACAAATACACATACAATTATACACTCACACGCATACACACATCATACACACACACATACACACACTCACCCGCACACACACATACACACATACACCCACAAACACACAAACAGACACACCCACACACACACACACACACACATATACAAACACACATACTCGTACACATGCACACACACACACACAAACACACCCACACACACACACGCACACAAATACTCACACTCGTACACACAAACGCACACACGCTCAAACACACACCTATGTGTATATGTAAACACATACACAAGTATGTAGACATACAACGAGATATACAGGTATATATATATATATATATACTAGGATGAGTGGTGGGTGGTTGGCGGGTGCTCTTGTGTGGTTTGCTTCTTCCCTCCTATCAAGCATCTATTATCCTTATCTTTCCTCCTTCTTTTTTGTGTTTGTTACTCTCTTGTAACACCACTAATCTTCAGCACTTATATGACCTTAATTTGTTGCGAGTGCCACAAAACACTTATTAAAACAAGGATGAGTGGTGAGCAGGTTCTGGGCAACTTTTCCTCATATTTATTCTCTCACGTGTCTGCTTTATGAGAATGTATTTTTGAACCCTCGGTCATTGCCACCACCTGTGAGAGTCATTTAGCTAGGGGATGACAGCTGTTTTTTTTTTTTTACCTATCTCTTATCAGCTTTTCTACCTATTTTCTTTTGCTTTCAGTTGATGATGTATATCTTTTTTTTTTTTTTTTTTGCATGAGTAATCAAAGCATGGATAATCAAAATGTGTGTTTTCTGTTCGCTGGCCATGTTGGTACATTACTGGAACAACCATTAACTATCGTTAAAACTTGCAAAGCTGTTGTGATGCGACGCTCATGAATATATTTATAAGAAACATTAAATGCATTGGAAGTTTTGAAATATGTGTGTGTGCCTGGGGAAAGGTCCCATTTGTTTGCAAAGCTATTTTTGAGCAACACAGTGAAAAGGCCAAAATAATTAATACTAGGTAAAAAATTTAGTTTCATCAGAAAACACATGTTTAACCATTTTTAACTCATTTGCTACGTAATCTATTTGGCTTGTGGACGAATTTTTTTCCGGAGGGTGAAATGAGATGATGACTAGTGCGCAGTTCACAGGTCTTTGGGGCCACAAATTCAAATAAATATCAACATGTTAAATACCAACATTTTCAGTATGGTCTGTAAAATACATCTGTAATGTTTATTTGTGTATTTTTCAAATTTTGTTCCTGTAAGAGGTGATTGTGCAACACAATTTTACTTGGATGCGGATAAAATTTGAAAATTAAAAAAATAAATAATCTTTGGTGATACTCAAAAAATATGTTTGCACCTAATCAAATGATACCTACGTCAAAATAAACTTAAATGAGTATAGAACTGAAAAATTTTGAAAAATTTGCAGATATTTACATACATTCCATAAAATTTGTACATTTGGATCCAAGCATCCCATACTTTAAAAAAAAATATTATAATCTTGAAAAAAGGACAAGATGCATTCACAAACAGAAAAGAACTCTCGTATCTTATGTGGAATTATTTAGAATTGCATTTGGAATAAACCTATACTTGTCTTGAGTGGTACTTTTTGTGTAATTTCACAAAAAAATATTTATTTTGAGGAGAGAAAAAATATTTTGACAATTTATATCTAGACCTAGATCTAGCTCTGAAAAATATTGATTTCTCAATAACAGAGCACTGGCAATTTGTGTCCAATAGTATCAATATTCTAAAGAAGAGCCTTACATTTCTTTAGTGAGCAAAATAATGATACATTTTGTTGTGTAAAAGTACTAAGACTGGTGTCTGGCCTATAATTTGGGCATTGCGATAAAACAAAGTTGCAGAAACTTTGAAATTGAGTTTCAAAACTAATCAACACTTTCGATTTTCAGTGGAAATGCTTGACCCGGAAGTCAATGTTATGTTATAACCTTTATTTTAGCTTGAATATGTGGATTGGAATCAAATCTAAGCTAAAATTATAGGTCGGTTCTTGAGCCGTCGGGGGCGGCATGGCGTACAGAAGTCACTTTCGCTACGCCGCTGCCCACAGTTCGGCGTAGCGAATGAGTTAATCAACATTTTGAAAGGGTTTTAAAGTATTTTAAATATAAATATTTTTTTAATGAATTAGTTTTGCAACATGTTTTACTTCCCTAAAGGTAAAAAGGGTCTAGAAACTGGGTCAACACACGGAGGTTAAAAACTGTTTTTTCTCTTAACTTTATTTTTACACCCTGTGTTAAAAATAAGGCGTATCATGTGAACTTAAAAAAAAAGCTGATGTTCAACTTTGAATTCGCTTCAAATGCCCTTATTTCAATATCCAAAGTTTCTGACAACTGGGACCTTTCTCCAGGCACTCACACACATCATATGCTAGATTCACCAGCTGTTTGCATTTTGTTACACCATAGAGGCGTCTGTTATATATATTTTATGAGTTTATATGACCTTAGCAGTTGCGAGCGCCGTAAAACCTTATACTATACACACATATGTATTTTATGAGTTTATTTGTGACAGTAATATCTTACTTAACTTTGTGAGTCAGAAATTCATGTTCGCATGTGGACACATTTTTTAGAGAGTTCAAATTGAAGTTGTATCGTATGCCTGCAGACATTGCTCTGTTGATTATATCAGTAAACTTAAAATACAATATTATCTGAAGATTTCAGTGTTTAAGTGATTGTAAAGTAAGTGAAAATGTTACATCATTATGTATGATTCATGCTCTCATCCATATTTGTGCATTGATGAATGTTTACTTAATTATGCACAATGCCTGTGTAATAAATGTCACTATGGAGGGCTGTGACATACTTGATAATTGAAGTTTTTGTTGTATTTAAAAATTCAAAAGCAAAACAAGACAAAACAAAAACAAAACAAAACAACAAAAACTAAATCTTAAGAGTGAATGAAAACGTTGTTCAAAGAAAGTAAATTTTTACCTGAAATTCGTAACACACTTTTGTTTTTGTGAAGTGTATTTCCTCTTTTACCCTTTCCCATTTATAATATCTTTAGAGTACACAAAGTTTGAGATGGTGAGTTGAGGTCTCCAACTTAACCTTTTTATAAAAGGAGGAAATCAAATAACTTCATACATTTCCAGAAATCTTTGTTGTTCCTATCCTATCCTATACATGGAAATATATTTTTACTACCCTTTTACGGTTAGAGTATAGTCTATGTCATGTTCATGTGCTTGAATAACTTTCATTTTTGTTATATTTGTTGACATTTTACACCCCCCTTGACACAAGTTGGTTCATTTAGGGGGCAGGCTGCTTCTACCATGTCTGTCTTGGCTAGCCTGGGCTGAGAGTGGTAGAATATCCCTGTAAATAGATGGAGATACTTGACAGAAAACATCCCCATATATGAGAATCAAACTCATGTCATCTATCTGTGAAGTCAAAGTGCCTAACCTTTGTACCACAGATGCTGGCTATGTCTTTGTATTTTGACCTAGATAATTTCTTTTGGGTTTTTTTTTTTTGCCATTTATGTTTGAATAAGCATCTTGACTGAAATTTTTTTGCTGTTGAGTGTAAAAAGATTAGACTTTACATATGCGCTCATATGACCTAATGCATTTGCGAGTGCCGTAAAGCCTCTACTAAATTTTTTTTAAACCAACGAACCCACATCCTATACACTCCCCTCTCAACCTCATACTGCGGAGAAAAGATCTTTTTCAATATGCTATGAGTGGTTGTGGGTCTCAGGTGTTACTAAAAGCTCATAGTGGGTTTTGGTCTCATTAAAGTTATTGTTTAATGTTTTAGTGCTAGAAGTTTTAAAGGAGACGTGTAGTTTTAAAATATTTTGTTTTGTATCACCTGTTATTACAGTATTTGCCATATTTCCTTTGGATTTCTGTATACATCCCCCTCCACCTAGACCCCCCCCCCCTTTTTTTTCAAAAACCAATGACCCCCCTCCCCCCCCAAAAAAACAACCAACAAACAAAAACAAAAACACACACACAAACACTCACACACACACACATACACACACACACAAACACACACACTCACACACCCACACACACACACATACACACACACGCACACACCACCACCACCATCCATCCATCCATTTATCCGTCTCACACACAGCCTTATCATACTTCATCTGACCTCTTCAGTTTGCCATGCTGGAAATCAACCGTCTAGACCGACCTCTCCTCCCTTGCCCTCTTCTGCTGGACGTTAGCAGTTACCTGCCGGACACAGTAGACTTGATGCAGGATGGAGACGCCCGGGAGTATTGGCTCAGCTGCTTCGCTGACAGCGCTCATAAAGTGAGTAAAGGAATTTTATGTGTTTCTAGCATGGTGTTCATTTCTTTGCTTTGGATGTTTTTAAAAAAAAGGGACAATAGATTATGTGGGTAGTTGGCGGGTGCTCTGGTGTGGTTTGCTTCTTCTTTCCTATCAAACATCTATCGTCCTTATCTCCTCTTCTTTTTTTTTATGTTTGCTACTCTCTCGTAACACCTCTAATCTTCTGACACTCATATGACCTTATGCAGTTGCGAGAGCCGTAAAACCTCTACTAAAACTAAACTGACAAAAGATTATTCTAAATCGAGCTGAGAATTTTTCTCTTGATTGGAAGTCGTTCTCTTCTTTAGATTGAATTTTTTTTTTTTTTTTTGAGTTGAGAAAATATTTTAATGTCAGCCTATCTTGACATTGCCTGCTTGTGCAACTGCCCAAGTGTCCATTTTCTTTAGCATGTTGTATGTTTTCTACCTTTGTCAATAGTGTGCTTCAGTTAAATAGCCTTATAGTGTTGATCGGGGCATTAAACCTACACCATTTCACCATAATTGCAACAATAGCAGCATCTATTACGCTAGAAAACCAATGATTTTAATGGCCTAATGATTATGTTCTTCGTTGGTGCATGCAGATCATGTGAATTCAATTCCTGGATGGGAAAACTGTCTCATTATGTGATGTATTTTCTGTTCCTACAGGCCTATCCTTCATAAGCTTTTAACGTTAGCTTTCATTATATTTGTTCTTTTCCTATGTCTGGATGAAAATAGTCTGTGTGTGTGTGTGTGTGTGTGTGTGTGTGTGTGTGTGTGTGTGTGTGTGTGTATGTGTGTGTGTGTGTGTGCATTAATGTATATTGCGTGAGAAGAAAGGAAGTAGTAAGAAAGGTTTTTGAAAAATGGGTATTCCAATGTAAAGCGCATTGAGCTACTTTTTTTTGGAAATGCGCTCTATAAATGTTATATATTATTATTATTATTATTATGTATCCAATTTAACCCTGGTTAGCCATGACAGGTACTTTCAAAGCAAACCAGCTCGTAAATAATGTTATATAATATTGTGTCATCTTTGCTTGAAACTATTATAGTCCGTACAGTTAAATGCTATGGGGAATGAATTCTCATGCTATGCAATTTGTAAAAAAGTGTCCCTTGATATTTTATTTATTTGAACTTCAATGGGTAGTGTTTTCTTTTTCTTTTCTTTCTCCAGACAAGAGACCTGGCTGCCAAAAGTCAGCTTCATGAACCTGATGCAGAGGAACGTGCCAACTTATTCTTGGAGAAATATTTGGACCGCCTCCAGTCTCTAAAGCAGAACCCTGGGTAATAAGGGCTGGGGAGAGTTGTAGCTTAAAGAACAACAGAAGCTGGTGTGAAAGTGTTAGTGTTGTACTAGAAGTGTAAATATTTAGTGCCCCTGTCAACACCATTAGGTTATACAAGAGGCTGGACTTCCGAATTTAATGTCTTTCTCTGACAGACCCAAGCTAAATGGACTGAGTGCCTTGATTACTTTACAAAACAGCCAGAGTAATTTATAAAGGAATCAGTTGGGTTGATTATAACTTGGAAAAGTTAGGTTGTCCAGCCTCATGAAAACCCTTGTACCCTCCTATCCCCATCGTGCATGACCCCTTCTGAGGGTGGGCATGCAGTCCACAGACACCCCAGTCCACAATGCGATAACTTGGAAAAAAGATTCTAGGAAAAAAGACTATTCAATTGATTTTCACAATTTCTCCTTCTTATTCATAATTTGAATGTGGTATCTTGTGGCTGTGTAAGCTTTTATGCCAATGTGTGTATACATTTTACAATAGCTGTTATGTTTGGATCTGGATCTGAGGATGAGCCTGTGGTACTGGTGGGCATTGCCCTACCTATAGATGAAGTTTGGTTTCTTTGGTGTGTATATTTGTTTGGTTATAGAGAAAACTCTCCTTGCCTCTTAAAGAAAATGAGCATGGGGCAAAAACTTCACCTTCGATTTTCTCAAAACAGCATTTTCCGAGATAGTCCCCTTGTGTTTAAAAGCGACCATTTGTAGTCTCACTATTACCATCATACTCAAAGCCACCGTCAGCACTATCACTTGTGGTGAAATAAATATTTGACCGCACTTTTGATCAAAGAACAGTAAAGTTTCCAGATTGGAAAATAGTTTTGGGACTGCGATCTAGGCCTTAGAAACACATACCAAAAAGCAAATATTCCCCGTTATTCATGAAATGAGGCTGTAAAAGAATCTTAACATATCTAAAGTGCTTTCCCTTTACTCATTCATGTGACTATAGATAAAGCCAGTGCTACTCTCTTACTGAACTTTCAGCTTTGTAAAGAGATGATTGGAGAAGGTGGGGGGGGGGGTTGGTGTAGCAATAATTCCTCTCAAACGCCTATGGGCTGAAACCAGTAGCGAGAAATCTCATCAGTAGTTCTGAATGAATTATATATAAATTCAAGCACAATCCAGCATGCTGTGTTCTATATTCAGTATTTCATATTAGAAAGTACCTAGTACATTGATATATGGTCACTTTTAAGCACAAGGGGGCTATCCTGAAAAATGCTGTTTGAGAAAATCGAAGGTAAAGTTTTTGCCCCTTGTTCAGTTTCTTTAAAAGACAAGAAGAGTTTTCTCTATAACCAAACAATATATACACACCAAAGAATCCAAACTTCTCCTGAAGGTAGGACAATACCCACTTTTGTTGTAGGACAAGATTTCTGAAAATCCCCGAAATCTAGGTTAGCCCGCTTGTCCTTAAAAAAGAGCGATCATACATGTATAATGCAAAGAAGAATATCTGCGTTTAATCCTCACTTTTGTGGGTGGTTGGCGGATGTCCTAGTGTGGTTTGCATCTTCTTTCCTATCAAACATCTATCGTCCTTATCTCCCCTTCTTCTTTTTTTATGTTTGTTACTCTCTTGTAACACCTTTAATCTTCTGGTGCTCATATGACCTTATGCAGTTGCTTGCACTGTAAAACCTCCACTAAAACAAACAAAATCCTCACTTTTCTTCCTGGCAGTGCTTTCGGTTCTCTGACGGTGAGGAACCTCTTGGACACAAGCACACACTTTTTAGAGGAGTCTCAGTTTACAGATACTTTCTCCCAGGTAAACAAAAAGTAACCTTTGTCTGTCTTGGTTTGATCTCATCTCTGGAAAAATATAAAAGGGTGAAGTTTGCTGTTGTCAGGGAAAACAACAAATGGTTATAAAATTTTAATTTAAAAAAAAAAAAAAATTCTTATAGAGCACTTCATACTGCATCTGGGAGTATATTTGCTTTAGTCTTATCATAAATAGTATTTGTGTTATTCAGAGATTGTCTTTTTCCTTTACATCTGCAAGCTCCAGGCCTGAATGCTATCAAAGATCACTGCTCATTCAGCATTTTCCTCTGCACCACTGATCTGGGCTGGTGTGCGAATAATTCATGCGTGACAAATGGCACAATATTATAGTCACCGTTATGACAATAGAAATAGCTTCTTCTTTTTTTTCTATTTGAAAGTATTCAGAACTCACAAAACTTTGATGATGATATCAGACTTTGCCTGTCTTGACCCTTTTGAAACATATATGTTGATATTGGCTTCATAACTTTCTTTTGTATAAGATTTTTAGAGTGCATCCGTGGGTTTTTGGATAACACCATTTGATTTGTCAGGTCCTACTGTCTTTCTTTCTCTCTGTTATTTTTGTTCTCCTGCCGGTCTTGTTTTTTCCCCTGAGTGGATCGATCGTTTTTGCCACTTTATCTTTTTTAAATTTAAAACGCTTCCTTCCAATTATTATTGTTATTTATCTGTTTTTCTTACAACGTCTCTGCAGCAAAAGCAGATAGAGAATGAACAGGCCTTACAGCAGCTTGCCTCTCGCCTCAAGTACCTCGATGGGCTCGAACCCGCACAGCGCCACCTGGAGCTAGCTATGGGTGTCCTGGCAGGCAATGTCTTTGACTGGGGAGCTAAAGAAATTCGAGAAATTCTGGAGGTTCAGGAGTTTGGTCTTCAGGATGCTCAAGCAAAACTGCAAAGTGAGGAAATGTGTTTTAATTTTTTTTTCTTATTTTATTTTGAAAGACTCATTGATTTATTATTTTGCTGACTTATTTATTCATTGATTTTATATTCTCCACTTGCATATATAAAAATCGGGAAGAATTTCTTCTTTAAACTTGAGTATATGCGATGCATATGTCACGACACGGTGGAATCAGACGCTTGTCAATTTTTGGACATTTTGAGTTATAGGTATCACTTTAAAGCTTGTACATTTGACTTGCTTTTGGTGAAAAAAAATATCCATCTATTCATGATAGATGTCAAGATATTTGCGTTTGAAGGAGGTGGGGTCACCTGATTTCAGAGGTAAAATTAGTGAGGAAATGGCCACCAAAGTTTGGTGACTTCCAAAGCTTGACAATAGCCTACTTACTAACTGCAAATTTACATTTTTGTGCCTTAAATCAACATTTTTCAGTAAAATTCAAACAGAAATGTGTTTTTAAATGGACCTTCACTCATTCGCTACGTTTTATTTTCGGCTTGTGGAAAAATTTTTTTCGGGAGGGCAAATGAGATGATGGCTAGTGGGCTTAAAAGGTCTTTGGGGGCCACAAATTCAAATAAATATCACCGTATTATATACCAATATTTTCAGTATGGTTTGTAGAATACATCTGTATCGTTTATTTATGTATTTTTCAACTTTGGTTCCTGAAAGAGGCGATTATACAACCCAATTTTGATTGGATGCGGATAAAATTTGAAAATAAAAAATAAATAATCTTTGGTGAAACTCAAAAAATATGTTTCCACGTAGTCAAATGATACATCAAAATAACCATAAATGAATATAGAACTGGAAAATATTGAAAAGTTTGCAGTTATTTACATACATTCCATAATATTTGTACATTTACATCATAACATCCGATATTGAAAAACATTTTTTTTTTATTATCTTGAAAAACGATCACAAACAGAAAAAAACCTACTCGTATCTTATATGGAATTATTCAGAATTACATTTGGAATAAACCTATACGTGTCTTGAGTGGCACTTTTTGTGTAATTTCATAAAAAAGTAGTGATTTTGGGGAGCAAAAAATATTTTGACAGTTTAGATCTAGACCTAGATCTAGCACTCAAAAATATTGATTTCTCAATACAGTGCATTGGCAATATGAGTCCAATCGTATCAATATTATAAAAAAGAGTCCTACACTTCTTTAGTCGGCAATATAATGATAGATTTTGTTGTGTAAAATTACTAAGACTGGTGTCTGGGCTATAATTTTGACATCGCGATAAAACAAAGTCGAATAAACTACGAAATCGGGTTTCAAAACTGAATCTAAATTTCCGATTTTCTGTGGAAATGCTTGACCCGGAAGTCAACGTTATATTATGACCTTTATTTTAACATGGATATGTGGATTGGAATAGAATCTAAGCTAAAATTGAAGATCGGTTGTAACTTTAGCCGCGCCGCCCCCCCATGGCTCGGCGTAGCGAATGAGTTAAAGGTCTTGATTAGGAAAAAAACAATTTGTTTAAACTGCCAAACGGACAGAAAAATGCTGTTTCTTTGATTTCATTATTTTGACGAGCGCCTGATTTCATCATGCTGCCTCAAATATATAGTAATATATATATTAATATCAACATCTCTCTCTCTGTATATATATATTTATATATATATCATCTCTGTTGTGGTGTCACTGTGTAAGCACAGAATTTCTCTACTTTTAAATTTGCCAAAGAGATGAAGAATTGTCACTTACATATATTATGGTAACAAAAATGAATTGTGCTAAAATGTGCTGGAGTGAGGGAGGAGAGGTGAGTGAGAAAGATGATTTCCTGTAAGGTGTTTGTCTCGGACACATTGCGGTTTGGTTCGAGCTGGTTTCACTGTAATTTTTTTTGCATTAACTATGATGTGTTTGGTCATCTAATTTTCTGTATGTTTCCAGAAGTAATTGTGTCTAAGTCTAAGGAGGCACTGCTAGTTTCTGATGTGTGGTTGCTTAAAAGATAGAGTATGCCACAACAGGGCAGTATGGGACCAGTCTGCTGCTTTTATGATCAAAACGTGTCATTAAGGATGAAAAATAATCATTGTTAATCATGTCTGTTTGGTTGTTATATTTTGCTAAATTACCTGAACAAATGTTTTCAGAGAGGCCATGGCTGTTTGACGACTTTGATGCCTGGCTGGATCGCCTAACCAACCGACAGCCGTACCGCTGTGCTGTGATCTTCTGTGACAATTCCGGTGTGGACATCATCTTGGGGATTCTGCCGTTTGCCCGACAGCTCCTTTTGATGGGCACCAATGTGAGTAGTGATCGCCTGATGCGCATGATCCTAGCTCCTTAGGCATCTTGTGAAGTTTTGAGAAAATCTTTTTAAAAAAAGAATCAAAATCAGAACCATGACTTGGACGCTCATTATTTTTAAATTGACAAACTAAAAATGCAATTACGAAACAGAGAAACAACAAAACTATAATATAAGTGGCAGCTTGGTGAAATCAGGCACTCGTCAAAATAATCAAAGTGAGAAAATGGGCACTTTTCCGCAGGTTTGTGAATTTTTATCGAATTTTCGTTTTTTGTCTTAATACCTTTCATGCCCATTAACTCTTTAAGCCCTGAATTTTTTCTACCGTTTCCTGGAGTTTTTTATACAGTCACCTGAACCTAGTGCGCTATGTCTCATTATAACCCCAAAAGCTTGCCTCCAACTTCTCAATAGCGGAAACAAAGGCTTAGTCATTACTAAAAAACTTGGTAACGGAATGGTTAAAAAAAACAAGCAAAAACTAGCACTCGGTAAAATGACACTGTTGTCACTAGTACTGGACGCTCCCAGCGTCTGAAGGCGTCTGATGGGGTTCAAAGAGTTAAAGAACTCAATTCTGTGTTGGTTTTACTGAAAATCGTTGATTAAAGGCACAAAATTGACAGGAGTCTCAAGCTAAGGAAAACTCATCTTTTGAGGCCGTTTTCTCTCTAACTTTAACTCTCAAACCAGGTGCTTCATTTGCAAATATTTTGACTTCTATTGAAGATAAATTAATATTTTTTCTTCCAAAACATCACAAATGAACAAGCTTTAAGATGATACCAATGACTTTACATGCCCAAAAATTGCCATGGAGTTATTTGTATCATCCTAGAGCCTGTCCATTTGCCTTGCTTTTGATGAAAAAATATTTATTTATTTTGAAAAGAAGTCGAGATATTGGCGATTGAAGGTGGGGGTTGCCTGGTTTCAGAGGTAAATTTTGCAACAAAAAATGCCGCCAAAGTAGAGTTAATTCCTTAACTGGAGAGTCTGTGAAAACTAAAAACTTACATCTTTTATGGCTTTAATCAACTTTTTCAGTTAACTCGATACTGAGTGTGTTCTTTCATTGGCATGAACGGTGTTGAGACTAAAAACAAAAAAATCAATGAAAATTCCCTTACCTGCGAAAAAATGGGTTTCTTAACCTTCATTATTTTGACGAGCGCCTGATATCACCATGCTGCCTCACATATCGTAATTGAAGTCTTTATTCAAATTATGGCTTTATCTTGAAACTCCTAGAAATTGATTTGGGAAACTGTGGAATGTTGCTGATGGCATGCACTGTATAACAAGCACTTTGAACATGAAATAAGCATTCAGTTCTGTAAGACACATTTATATTCACAGATTTATGAAAGGTATGCTTCAAGCACTGCTTTATTGGGATGAGACACTTGTGTATACTAATTCTTGTATTACTGTTTTCTATTTTTGTTTTTAATGACCAGACTAAAAGTGAACATTCTAACAAAAGGGGTGAACAGATATCAGAGGTGGAGTGTGGGCTGTAATATCATCTATTTACCGGTTTGCCACAATAAATCTCGTACTTTAAAAATTAGAAATAAAAAATTCTAACAAAGTCAGAACTTCTTATACGATAATTTTTTTTTGAAACTCTGATTCCTATTTCCCTTGGTCATCCAGGTGATTCTTGTGCCAACTGTTTAGTCATATATAGGTGAAGGGGCTTATAAATGTCAGAGTGCAGCACGAGCCATAGTAGTACCTTCAGTTTACCCTTTTACCTCAAACTTGAAAAAAATTGTTTTTCTAAGAAACAAAATTTAACCTGTTTAGAGAACTACTTACAGGTGATCCGTTCTTTTGAAGCCCTGATTTCTTTTTCCCGTTGTTTGTCCAGGTGATTCTTTGTGCCAACTCTCACCCGAGCTTGAATGATGTGGTGTACACGGAGATGCTGCTCATTGCCAAGAAGGTCTCCGAGGTGTGTCCCGTGCTGCGCCAGGCCTTGGAGCAAGAGCGTTTCCGCATCATGGAGTCGGGGCAGGCTTCCCCGTGTCTGGATCTCAGGTGATCATCAGAAGTCATAACTCGTTGACAATATCGACTGACCAGTCGAGTCCGTATATTTATTGACCGGTTGAGTCTATATTATATCCATTGACCACTTGAACACGCTCATATGACCTTATGCATTTGCGAGCACTGTAAAACCTCTACTAAAAAAAACAACCTTGAACACGGAAGACCTGTAATGCTGCCTGGCTGTATTTCTCAGTGCCCCATTAGGCTGCTTTATGAGACCTAGACTGGGTATCTCATTGGGCCAGTATTCTAGTCCAGGTTGTATTTTTCAGGGTCCCGTAAAACCAGTTTGTCGGGGTTGGATTTCTCAGCATCCTATTATGATAAAGGGATATAACCATGGTGGAAGGCATGAGATAGAAGTGCTAAGTGGCCTTGTTTGCCAGGGTAACTTCCCTTCCACTGATATTTCTTGGGCTTAAATCTCTCTAAAAATAACTTAGTTTTCATCTAGTTTCTTGTCTTTGCCCAGGGTTAGATGGTCTAAATAAGATCTTCCGCCTCTTAACTGTTTTGGAGAGCAGAACCTTTCATCAGTCACGTCAGGCTTTTACTTCTTCCCAGTGTGGGTGATTGGTGGATGCTCTGGTGTGGTTTGCTCCTTCTTTCCTGTCGAATATTTATCATCCTTATCTCTCCTCCTTCTTTTTTGCAATTGTTAATCTCTTGCAACATCTCTAATCTTTGGCACATTTATATGAACTTTTTGTGTTGCAAGTTCCGTAACATTGTTACTAAAACTAAGCCTCTTCCTAGTGTAAGATTGACTGGCACCTTTGGTTTAATGGCTGGACACTTTGTTATTGCAAGCAGAAGATGGGAGCAAAATTTCACAAAGGTTGGAGTGTATTTTTTTCCAGGTATCTTTTTTAGTTTTAGTAGAGGTTTTACGGTGCTTGAAACTGCATAAGGTAATATGAACGCCAGGTATCTTTGTGTTTTTTATGGCAAGGTATGTAATCTTTGTGTTTCTTATGGCAAGGTATGTCTCACTCAACATGGATTTTCCCGAACATGCAAGGTCAAAACCCTGGCTTCCGAAAAAATTTTAAGGGTGTCAGTAGGTTTGAAAAACATTTACGATCATTTTAAAGGAATGTTAATGCTTTGCGTGTTTTTGTTTGCTTGTTTATAAGAGTAGTACTGCTCTTGCTGTTGCATTACATTATTGGAATGAGATTGAATATTTTACTCATTTAGTACATTGCAAACAAAGAGAAAAAGACAAACATACAAAAGAAGTAGAGGAAAAGTAACGATAGCGAGGATTATGAAAGAAAAAGCAGCAGTTTCCTGTTGCAGTTCAGACACAGTTATGAACATTGATGAATCAGCCCATTTACAACGATTCTACTGTGCATAATAAGAACATGTTAATATCCCCCCTTTGGGAATGGCCTAAAGACACTTCAGTCAGTAGCACTGCCCGGGGGGTGAAATGTGAGTATAATATTATTGTAGCACACATAGAGCTTGCTGTAGAGTATGCTGATGAGAATGGATATGTGCTATAATTATTATATGTGCCTCTACTAAAACTATAACTTAATACTCACATTGTATTTCTTTTTCCGTCCTCTTCCTGCCCAGGTTAATTGACGAAGCACTTGTGGTTGCCATAAAGGAGCTAGAGGCAGACCTGATAGTCATCGAAGGTATGGGCCGAGCCGTGCACACTAACTTCCACGCTGCTTTCGCCTGTGATTCTCTGAAAGCGGCGGTGATCAAGAACAAGTGGCTGGCCAACCGGTTTGGCGGGGAGATGTTCAGCGTCATGTTCAAGTACGAGCGGGCTCGCTGCATTTCCTCCTCTAGTTCATCCTCCGCCTCTCTTACGTCGTCCCCGGGAAAGAGATAGCACTATTTATACAAACACGTACACATTGTGTTTTCAAGCGAGGTTTTTGTTGTCATGTGCATTGCAGTGCTTTTAGATCAAGTGAGTGGTTTTCCCAGAGATAAATTTAGTGTCTACAAGTGGCTGTCTTAGAATTACAAAGCTCTAGTTCTATCCGACATTTTTGGACGTTTTGAGTTGCTATGACCATGAGGTGAGAAACCAAATGTAGTGAGAATGAATGACAAAGAAAGAATGATGACCAAAGACGTTTTGGTTTTAATCAACACAATTCGACATTCTCATTTTAGACATCTGAAACAAGACAGAACAAACATGAAATAGAACAAGTAAGTAGCTTCATATACACATCACCAATTGCTCTATTTGCTCTACCAAAATCGTAAGATTATTCAGACTCGTTATCAAGAGAATCAGAGAATTGCATTACAAATAGCTTGACAGGTTGTGAGACTCAAAAGTTTTTTTACGTCACATTTCTCAAAACTAGGTACTGAGCTGATAGAACTTTGTAATTTTATGGTAAAAAACTGTCTTTAGATTTGCAATCCAACAGAGGAATACTGAAGAAAAGAGTAGGATGGATGGATGAATGAGTCAAATCTCCAAAATGAATGAAATGAGAAAGTGGGCTCCCAAACAGTTGAGAGACAATTATTTCATAGTGACAACAGTTTTATTATGGACTCTGTCTCTGTGATATTGAAAAAATATAAATAGAGTCCTTGTGTTTAAATTTTTATATTTTTCCTTTGCTTGGAGAAGGAGTGTGTGATGAAAATAGTAGTTGATATACGGTCACTGTTATTCCTGATTTGCTATTTTCTATGGTGTTTTGTTAGGTTTTTTTTTCAAGATGTTCCACCTTTTGCTGCTTCTCTCCTCTTCTTTTTAAAAAGAACTCTTTTTCTTCTTTTTATTTTTCTTCTTGTTCTTTTTCTTGTTTGCCTTCTCTTTTACTCCTCCTCTTCCTGCCTTAAAAAAAACCACCCTACCAGTGTTGCAAGGGGAGTTAAACCAATACAATTTTACAGTTATCTCCTACTACTACTACTACTACCATTTTCCCCCTTCCAGATCTAAAAGAGAGATCCTTTTGATTAATTTTACTGACCAGAGTTTCTTCAGTTATGGGTAGGGAATTTTTTAGAATTTAGAATTATGCCTTGCCATCTGTGGCTTGCTGGTGTGGTATTTTATTTCTCACTGGCAAGGTGTTTTTAACTGTTGTGTAAGGAACAGATGGGGCCACCCAAGATTTCTATTCTTGTCTGAGAAGACTTGTTGCTTGGTCCCACTTTTTGGGGTTTGAGTAGCGCAAATTCCTTCCAAAAAATTTTGTTCCAGTTTGTTCCTAGACCTTGCTGTTGTTTGAACAGGGTCCTTTGGCTTGTGAGGTGAGCCCTGTAGAGGTGAACGTCTTATCTGTGTAGCAATGAGCCCCCTTATGAGCTAAAACTGGATTTTACAATTTTTTGTTGATGACGTTTGTTTTTACTTGTTTTCATCATCTTGAAATGGCCACATGAATTTATTTCTACATCTGATGGTTTTAAATACAGGTGTTCACACTAATTAACCCTGCGCGTGGGAGTGGTTGTCTCAGTTTGTGCCCTTCTAAGGCCTACTTTTTCTCACTCGAAATTCACACCACAACATGAGGTTGTGGCTATCTAGGGATTTTCCATTAAAAGCTCAGGCACTAGAGCTGTAGAGTTTGATGATGCTTTCTGAAGATCAAATTGAAAACTCATGTTTTTCAAACAAGCTATTGCTTTTCAGAACCTTCCGTTTCTTTTCATTTGTTATTAAATTTGTTTTAACAACCAAAGAGTAATAAATCAGTTTAATACAAACCCACAGTAATTCATATCTACATCATATGATACACAACATTGTAGGTATTCCGGTAAGCTTATAGACTTGTCACTTCAGCACTTATATGACCTAACTGTGTTGCAAGTGCCATAAAACTCTTACTAAAACCAGCCACACCCTGGCTGCCTCTGTGCAGTTCTCTTATATTTTAGCCTTGGATATTGTGTCTTACTCAAGAACCCATGTGACCATCTACCAAAATTTTGTGTCTCCGACATGTGCTTGACAGTACCGTGAGCCTGAGTTCTCTGACCGCTTAGCCATATCAGGATTTCTTTGGTGTTCTTGTAATTGGGATAGCCTTTATTGGTCTCAGAGAGCGTGTATGTCACCAGATAGGAGTGGATCTTTTCTGATCTTGTTGTCCGTAGCCCTCATCCTTAAAACATAAGTCGGATAGCCCCTGGAATAAAACCAAACATTCTGTTCAACTGAAATCCATTTGCGTATCACCTTGTGAACATTTTGCACTCGAAATGAATGCGTAACGTACTTCACAGAATGTGTTACTGAGATATTATTGTAGTCTGATGTCCATGAAAGCTTGTCAGCCATGTCCAGATGTGGGCTTTTTCTGTGCTTTTTTTGCTATGAATTCTGAGAGTTTATGTTCAGATCATGTACAACATGAATGAGTTCTTTGTCTTGTGATATGAAGTAAATGATGCATACATTTTTATTTTTTTAAAATGAAGCAGTAACGTTATTAAAAATATTTTTTGTTATCATTGTTATCAACTATCTAGCATAATGTCCCTCAGTGTAGCACAAAGCACACCTTTTTATTACTTTTAACCTTCTGTTTTAATACATGCGTTGTCTTTCTCTATAATGCACACAAAGTGTTTTAAAATTGTCATAATATAAAGTTTTAAAAATTTTTTAAGCACCATGATATAAGTTGAGTCTACTATGGAAACCACAAGACTAGAAGGAAACTATAAGTTGTCCTTCTGTCTCTGGACAAACTTGTTTTTGCAAGGACAATCCTGTGTCCCCATCCTCCTCTTCATTTGTCAGCAGTCTTTCGGAAAATGTGTGTTTGTTTTATGGTTCTGTTTGACTAGTCTGCTGATAAGTGCCAAAGGTTTTCAGTTTTGTTTAGACTGTCATTTTGAGACATGGTAGTGGCTGCTGTGACCTATGTTGTTGATTGATGTAAGGGGTTGTCAGCGATGTGTAACAGTTAACACCAAGATGATGGAACTAGGCATGAGAGAGATGAAGCTCACTTGGAACGACCTTGGAAGGATGGCCTAGGACTGAATTAAAAGGAAGGAGCTTGTATGTGGCCTGTACCCTGCCAGGGGTGAAAGGCATTGATGATGATGCCAAGTTTACTTCAGCTGACCTCATCCATAACTCCCTACTGACGGCTAGCCGTTCCTAGTGGCTTGTAGTTGGATCCGCAGTGCCGGTGATCCGGTCTCTGTCAAATTCTTTCTCTACAGCTACAACATTCGATTAATTTTCTGCAATTGCCAAAAATAGATCTCTCTTAGTGAGAGTTTGTCCATTAGACAAAGAAACTATCAAAATAGGTTCATTCTAAAAAAAAAATAATGACCAGTTTAAAGATCTGTACATCACTCTCAAGTTTTGTTCCAAAAGAGGGCTGCAGTATAGTTGGAAAACCTCTCTTAGACATAATAGTTTAAAATAGTTTTAAATTATATCAGGCATGATGTTATGGCTATCCTTATTTTTGCCCAACAGAGTTGAAAGCCCAGGTGTATGTGGTAAAGGCAAGTAAGTTCTAAATAAAGGGCTTCACTGTAAATAGATGTCCTGGGTTGGCTCAAGTGTTTCATGTGCAAATGTTATAATCTTGATGTCATCACCTCATAGATAACCAGCCTGTGTTGAAATATATATATTATATGTTACAATCACTGGTCACTGCATTTGTTAATCCTCAAACCTGGAATATGGAATGAAGTCAAGTGTTGAATTTTGTATTTGTTTTTCAGTCGTATTAACATTGTGTCTGTTTTGTATTGAGAATTCTTTTTGTCATTCAGAGTACTTTTAACAAATGTTTCTTGTGAACATGTTTCTGTTTATATCTGGTCAATTCCCTCTAGTGTCATATTTTTTGCAGTGGTACTAAGTATTTTATAAAGAGAGAGAGAGGTAATGGAGAAGAAGAAAAATTACCCCAGACCTTCTCTATGTGAATGTGTTGATGTTTTATATATACTCCTGTTATAAAGAAATTGGTCTGATGAAGTTTTCGTTTTTTTTAAATTGAAAATTGAATGGACTGAGTAATTTATCAACTTGGAGTTGACTTTGCAAACATGTTATTTGCATGTTTTGTTTCGTAAAATGAAGTCTGTTTAAGTAAAGCCCGCCGGACCACTGGATTTTCTTTGTTTTACTGTGCTTTCAGTTTAGAGAGGTTGCTCAGATGGAAAAAAAGGAAAATGAGGATTTTTTGTTTTTGTTTGGTTAATCGCTGTTTTTGGATTAACCATGTTCGGTTCAAGCTGACTCCATTGTATCTGTTTTTATAAAACTGTTTTGTTGTTCTTTTTCTTTGTTTTTGGAGCGCTGGTTGCATTTGTGGTCCTTTTTGAATGAAATTGCTGAGATTTTCCATATTTTTTATCATTATTATTCTGTGTGAGCTTCAGTGGTTAGTCTAAGTCCACGGGTCCCAAAGTGATGCAACGGATTGGATTTTCTCAACCTACAATAAGTCATACACTTTTTGGGTCAGCAGCCATAAGTCAGAGCTTCTCTTCCCATCTGTTATTATGAACATTTTTCTCTGTAAGTTTCATGGATTACAGAATACTCTGTTTATTACCTGGAATACCTTGAGGTATCATTTCTGACTCTGAGGTTGGCTTGTATTTGACCCTCCATCCTTCTCGGTCGTGAGCTGCCACCACACATTCTGCTATAGCCAGGTCAGTCCATATTTTAATGCTGTCCTTTCATGTAACATTTTGGCTACCCTTGGCTCTCCTACCCCATCTCCTTCTTTTAAGCACCTTTTTCACATAGCTCTGTTTATTATGCAAGATAATTTAGCAGTTGCGTATTAGTGCCTTACAGTCGACTGCAATTGTGTGTTAATGTCACTTGAGTTGATCTTCAGTGACTGTGATTAGAGCACTGGCTTGGAAAGAACAATTTTCGTTTGTCAAAGATAGACAACGAGAATTAAAATTTTATGAAACTTTCTATGGATTTGAATCTGTAGTTTCTGCATGTTTTTCAAGTCTGTTATCAACTGTGCTGTTGTAAATGGCTCATTGTAGTGTTGTCAGCATTGAATGAACAGCTATTGGGTGAGCCCTCTGGCTGTATAGGCTTATCAGATAAAAATTGTTCTCAATTAA